AATAATTATACAGCTGTGAATGTAATTTTCTTCTTATACAAGGTCTGATCAGGGAGATTCAGAATGTCCCTGGAGGATGCTGAGGACCCTCCACTGGCATCATCACAGGATGAGGTTTTGGGCTGTAATGGCTAGATGGGGGAATATTCCAAAATCTAATGATGTGCAGTCATAGGACAGCAGTTTCTAGAGAAGGAAAAACACTATTTCCTGAAAAGAAACAAGCATGAGAACCACAGGCAAGTTGAACCAGACCAGTATTTTTCCCTCAAAAAAAAGCCTCAATACTGTTAATACTGTTATGCACGGGCAACAAGGAGACTTGAGCCTAAAGGGTGCAACTGCATTCCAAAATCTAATGATGTGCAGTCATAGGACAGCAGTTTCTAGAGAAGGAAAAACACTATTTCCTGAAAAGAAACAAGCATGAGAACCACAGGCAAGTTGAACCAGACCAGTATTTTTCCCTCAAAAAAAAGCCTCAATACTGTTAATACTGTTATGCACGGGCAACAAGGAGACTTGAGCCTAAAGGGTGCAACTGCCAAGTCACTGCAAGAATATCGTACTGAAATCCAATGCTGATCTATCTTTGTAAGCGCAATGACTTTGTTAAGGATATAGAATTAGCTGCCAGCCTACGCCAACAATTTGACCGTATCAGACTAGAGTGATTTGCTCAGTTCTCACCAGTCATGTGCCCCAAAACCCCGCTGGTAAATGTTGCATTATAGAGCTCACAGCTACAAACTCAAGCTAATGAATGCTGTCAGATTACTAGCTTAGTGAATGGACACAAAGTCAGTAAATGTCATTCAAAAAAGCAGCTCTTCAGACAGAACAGGGTACTTGGCATTTCTGATGCGCTGCCATAGACACAGTTTCACTGCAACATTTATAAACTATAACATGTTCCTGCCTTCAAACCCTACGCTACATGATTCTTGAAATTAGATTTAAATTGTACTTTTGTAACTTAAAGGATCTTCCACAATAGTGGAGGAAAGGAAAGCAAATGGTACTACTTATCATATAAAAACATTGAAGAAATCTTTAGTGGTCATTTTCCACTCCTGTCAAACTACTCATCAAAATGTCTTATTTTTTGATTAATTCACTCCCCCTTATCTGGGCTTGAAGCAAAATGAAAAACCAGTGCCAGTTTTTCTTGAAGCTGTTTTTTGCTTGTACCTTCAGGCCAGTAAGTCACAACTTCAGTTACAGTAAAGAAGGACGATACCTTTTGCAAGGAAAGCCAGCTGGTTTTGGCATTGTAAATGTCATGCTTACAACATACAGCTTTGACATAGTCTTACAGCTTCTGGAGCTTAATGGAAAATTCAATTTCCCCCGAACGAAGCCACTATTAAGAAAAATCTGAGGATGCCAAAATCTCAGGTGCTTACCTTTGTCATTGCTACTTGTTGGTGTTGGAGGGGGAAGCCCAGGCTTAGATTTGTCGTAATTGTTAAAGCTCTGGCTGCGTCGATTGTTGGCACTAATAGAACCACGAGCTTTGGCCTCACTGCCTGCAGCGGACACCCTCGTGGTGGGGCCTGGAAGTCTGATGAAAGAATTACAATACAATTAAATATATTTTAAAAGCATTCTGGGAAAGAAACTATGGAATACCAATCATAAGCTGAAAAGAAAAGGATCAATACCACAAATATATACTCATAAGAGTCTTTGTTCTTTCATAAGAACAAATCAAAAAATCACCCTAGATGAAAAATATATGGCAAACAAGCTACAGTCTGAATTGGTTTACATCAGAGAACACACACCACCCCCCCACCCCCCCCCCCCCCAAACAAAATTAATAGTCACTTGCCATAAATCTTGTGAATCAGAGTTAGTTGCAAGTAAATTCAGTGGAGCAATAGCACTGGTACAAGGTTAAGATTAAGTGAGACGCTACTGTTCTTAAACCAGATTGATGGACATTTATATGCTGGACACATAAGGGCTACCCTTATTTTGGAAATAACAATGAGACAGAACATGGCTGCCTTTTTCCTTGCAGAGAAATACATCACATCTCTGCTCTGAAAGCTACAAAGTCTAGCAGCCAAGCCCAGCGAAACTTTAACTTGGTTTAATTATTTGAGTCTATAAAAAAAAAAAAATCACACAAAGCTTAAGTTGCCCCTCTTAGGGCAACCACATTATCAGTGAGCTGGTATAAGCCTCTGGTTTAAACTGGGTCAGTCTCATCCAGCAATTCCTTACCGTAGCCTGTATTTACAAGATTTAGCTGTTTACCTAGAAAAAAAATGAAGTTAAGATTCTGGAATAAGTAGACAGGGAGGGATACTACTTTCATGCTTTTCAGGCAAAAGGGGAGGGGAAGACTTTTCTACAAAGCCCGACAGAATTAGGAAAGCCACTGGCATCACATCTCAGAACAATATGTGTGTTTGAGTCCTTCAAAGTCAAACTTCATACATAAAGTTTCCATGATCGCACTGTATTTTGTGCATGAATGAGCACATATTTCTACATTCCAAATAGATGAAATATTAAAAATTGAAAGACTTGGTAGTTGCTCAAAATGCATACTGAAGAGAGTTGGTGAAACAGCTCACTGTTTTGAAAAGCAAGGACACCACATTAAAAGATAGAACCAGTTCACGTCACCTACAAGTAGCAACGGAAGGGACCACTCTTTGCTGTCTTTGTGTTTTCTCTATGGTAGAATCTCTTTAAAACTTCTTTATATAAAACACAGAAATCTAATTGTTTTAAATAACTTGTGCCAATAATAGGCTAAAATGAAGAAATCCCAGTTGTCAGAGAGAATGGGAATGCAACCGACCACATCACCGTCATGCCTATGGGAAGGAAGAGAAGCCAGGAAGGAGTCTCGCAGTGCTTCCTAAACAAACTGACCTCTCCAAGACCAGTGAAGAAAATAGGAAATATGAAAAGAAACATGAAGGAAAAGAGCAAAAATGTCAGCAGCTGCATGCACATGCTTTCAAAGCTCAAAATAGGGTAAGACATAAGGGCATCATTCAAATACAAAACCAAAAATTAATTTACAAATTCAAACCACCACAGATCTGGCACAGCACATCATGGTTCTGAGGTTGACTTTGCTGAAGCCTTTTAGACGAGCTCCTCAATTTATCCAGCCTTTTTCAACACTGGGGGGTGCTAGAAAGTTGTACATACTCATCATCGCAGCAAGGTGTAAATGAGAACACCCCAGAGATGCTTCATCCACTGTAGAGGAGACTACATGGGAAGAAGCAGAGGCAAACCAGGGACAAATGCTGTTCTTGAGAACTTGGGAGTCACCAAGACAAGAAAGTTCATTAAGAGTTTGTTTTGCTTAATAGGAAATGAGCTAGGTTTCCTACAGGTAGGAAGGACGCACAAGATACCTCAGCTGAAAGTTTCTACCCAGTGATAAAACATTGCGAGTACGGGCCAACCACTGCAGCAAGGCTACTGGAGCCCCCAGTACTGGGAGGGGAATTTTCTAGCAGGGCTTGGCAGGAGAGAAGGGATAATGTTCTTGTACTGATGGGTAAGAAAAGGCTCCCCACACATACCCACACAGGTTTTGCAAATCTGACAGATTTTAAAGTAAATAAAGCTACTCAAACCATGTGACCACTCAAAAAGTGACAATTTTTCGATTTAAGTCAGTAATGTCACTGCCAATAAAAACATACTGAGAATAAAAAACACACGTGCTAAAAACGCTCTTGAATAAGGTATAATTTCTCTTAGACTTTTTTTTCCCCTTTAGTTTAACTGACTGATTTTAAGCCCCTGCTTTTGGTACTAGGCCAAGACATTTCACAGCAGTGCCTGTGAAAATTAGGGAAAAAAATTAGGTTCAGGGAGACGTTTCTAGCTTCTTGCTATTAGAGACAAGGTACTGAGCTCGGAGAATACTCTCCATTACTGCACTTCAGCGCCCCTCTTCAAGGAAAAAACAAACTGAAAAGCCATAATTACGACGAAGAGAGAACATGAAAAGGAAACATGGGACATTTTAACAGAGGTTATACTGCAGACCTTCACCGCTGTCATAAAAGAAGTAAGATGGGGGAAATAAATCCACATTGTACAGCAGAACTAACAATCTATACAAACTTGCCAAGCGGAATAAAAATCATAAGTAATAGTTCACAAGGTTAGCAAAAATGGTATAGTATAGTTTACCAATGTATAACTATATAAAAATTCTTAGTAAAATATTTTAATATATAATAGTAGTAAAAGTAAACATGATTAATAACCACTTTAATAACACAGCGACCCTTGTGATCACTGAGATGAGATGGTCATACGAGCTGACATGCAAGTCATGCTGGGATTCAGGAAAAAAATTGACTGAAATACTATTAATTGTTTTCAGGGAGATTAGATGTGCTCAGCTTCAGAGCACTGGGGAGTGCAGGAGCTCTGATGAGACAGACCCACACGGTGCTGTCCGGGCACACGTGGTGCACGTGATGCTCTCCTTACTAGCTAAGACACTAGCCTGATACTAGTTTCAATAACGCAGATCTAAATACACTAATACAGATGTGTACAGTGGGCAGAGTACTCCCAGAACCATGTTTTGTTCTCAAAAGCAAAAGCTCGTAAGGACAAGAAAACCAAATTATTTTCTTGCAGGCCAAAATGCATTCCACACCTTGGGGAAAAAAAAAAAAAAATTAAAATCCATCTAACACTTCCACATTTTAGCTGTTCGTAAAATGCCTAGTTACAAACTATTTTCAACAGGAATCCTAAACATGCATCCAGAAATATTGCAAAAGGATTATTCATGCTTTGCAGAAGATGAAGAAATGCTAACCTAGAAGACTTTTTCTGACCAAGAGTGAATCGGATGATTTTGCTTTGAGATGAGTCCCTGGGAGATGCACTGTACGACAGGAAAGAAAAAGCGGAAGATAACATTGAACAAAGACACTTTTTATTTTTTAAGCCACTGAACTTAGCACGTAATTTTAGAAAAGAAAGAGTTTTTATGAATTTCATAGGGGAAAAAAGCTTCTTGCCTAAGTATAACTTTATGTCAAAACTCCTAAAATCTGAAATGAATTAATTTTTAGAGAGTAATGAACATGCAATTCTGCATGCAAACCCCAACTTTATTATTCTTTTCTCTCTCAATTTTTATTATATGTATTTTTCTGCAGAATCTGAGCAATTTCACTTTAGTATACACTAAGAAAACATGACATTTAGGACCTTCAGGTTAGATATTTTTAAATTATTTAAAACCCAGCACAATCCACACAATGGACTGAAAATGTCAAAGCAATATTCAAATGGTCGCATGCACCTCTGCACGTTTTTGACAGGGAAGTCGCAGAAATATGTTCAAATACATCTTTGTTTTACAGTAATTATTTCCTGTACAAGTTTATACATGCTGTAGCAACACTATGTTTTTCAATTATACGAAAATATTGTTTACACCGAAAATGAGCATGATTCATGAAGAAAGACATAAGCAAAAACCAAGTAAGCTCTCAGTAGTCTCACTTGGAAGGCCTCATTTAAACTGTTTATATTCCTCATAAAGCAGCACTTAAGCTAGTGTTCACTTTAATGTGTGTTATTTTAACACAAATAAGCCTTAACTTAATTTGAGATATTTAATTAAAAAAAAGCCTTCATACTTTAGTAATTGTGCAAATATGGCTTCAGCCTTTAATCCTGCCCACTTATCCCCACTAAACCCCTCACTCTCTTAGCAGCGGAAGGGTCAGACAAGCAGAAGGCTGTACATGCATTCACGGTGGTACTGCCTTCATAAATTGCTTTTATTTTAACCTGGAAAGAGCACCCCTAGGATTAAAGACATTCAAGAGACAAAGACTCTCTCTACTTATCTGTATTCTGAGCTGGGAGCGCCAACAAACACCAGTTGTGAAAATTATTTTTCATGTAAGCCAGCAGCATATTATTTTTGACCAATAAGCCTAGCTTTGATTTTGACTGTCACCAGCCCTGATAAGCTCTATTTCTTTTACCACTGTCAGAAGCTTCCACTTCTTAGGACTGAAATTCTTGTAAACTGAGAACTGAAGTTGGTTTTCACATGCCCAAAGTATATATTCTGTAATGGCAACGATATACGTGTTTTGTGAGTAGAAAGAAGCAAATACTGAGAAAAATGTCCTTATAAAATACTGTGGTTACTTGGTCTACCAGGTATTTTAAACCCATTGAACTGCATATTTCCAGCACTGAGAACATATTTAAGCACATCTGTTTTGATTTCCAAAGGTGTGAAGTCAATTGCTACCCAGCACTCAACTTCCAACACACTCTTTATTCTAGAATAGAACTAAAGAAAGAAGTTTCTTTGGCTTTCGAAGACCTTTCACAAGAAGGAAAAAAAGAAATAAACAATTAAAAAAAAAAAAAAAAAAAGACTTAAAGGAAATTCCCCCACCTTGACTGCATTTCTGGTTGTGCTTTGAACTGATGCTGCGCAGCTTGCGGGGGCTGTTGGCACGGAGTCTGGAGCGAAGCTGGCACCTGCTGCTGCGGTACCCCGACCTGGCACTGGGATGGAGGCCCTGCTTGCTGGGACACTGGGGGAGGTTGCTGGGATGGATGGTGTTGTGGCTGCTGTTTCTGTGGCTGCTGTTGCTGTTGCTTGTATCGAGATAAACTGAAGAAAAGGCCCAAGATGGCCTTTAGATTCCCATTCCTGATTTCTGCAAGGCAATGTTCAGAAGTCACTCGTCAGCCATCAGTCATGGTTCCCCACTCTTCTCCCCCGCTGCACTCTTTGTAACGCAGTCTGAAGGATACGACAGGCTTTCTGCACATCTAATTGACATTACAGCTGATTACCAGTGAGCACCAACTACAAATAAATAACTAATTTCTCCCCTGCAGCGACTGCACGATGTCTTCCATTTCTGCTGTAGTCTGTATGTTAACGCCAGTGTGCGTAAAAAGATAGTTCCTTTAAATAGTTCCTTTAAACTAAAGTCACCAAAACAAAAACCCCACAACAAGAAGTGTATTAACAATGGCACACTGTAAATGATTTTTCAGTCCTAAATTTGCATGAGGAGGAGAAACTACTCAGTTATCACACAGTATTATATCATTTCTGGAATATCAGACTAATTGTTTCCACTAAGAAAATCTGATGCAAGTTTTACACTAGAAAATATGATTATTGGGTGAAGTAGCTGTATTAAAACAGATAATTACCAGTTTGATACTATCACAAGCAGATAAAGAATGGACACCCAAGGTACCTAAAGATAGCTTGACAGTGAATGAAAAAACATTTCAATTCCTGAAAGTCATCCTGTTCTTCTATGCAATATCAAATGTGAAAATGTAAAAACAAATAGAAATACAAATACAAAGATGTACCAGAATATGCACTTAACAACTGTATCATAATTAATATGCAAGAGGGCCGAGTCAGTCTTGCGGACAACCTTAATAATGTGCTGCAACTTAATTATTTAGCATGTTTAATTTCCTAAATTAAAAAAGTGAATTAAAAAAGCTACATCAAACAGCCGAACTTTTGCATGCACTATATAGACCACTTGTACTAATAAAACTTACTATTGCTCTATTCTTTTAAATCCCTCTACATGGATTAGTGCAAGAAGAGAAGAAAAGGACACGTGGCAGGACAGTGGCCAAGCACAAAACTGAGAATTGGAATTTTAATTTCGGTTCCCAGTTCTGGCTGAAAGATTGCTCTGACTTTGTGGGTCTGTAGGTTGCAAGCTGTAGGTTGCTCTTGACTGACAGACCCTGCTCTATCCTTTATTCCCTCTCCTAGCCACACTTCTGCTCACATGGCTCATCTTTGCTGTGTAACAAGCTTCTGTTCTTAACCCCAAGCCCTTTACCCAGCAAATCTCAGGCTCACAACTTAAAATTTTGCTCCCCTTTCTATACCAGCTTCCAGCTTTGGTCTCCTTGTCTGCCTGTGCCTCAATCCACCTTTTCTTCCTAGCAACTAATCTAATTTACTTTCTTCCTTAATTTTGTTTTGGCCCATGCCCATCTCCTCAGCAACTCCTAGACCTTATCTAAGTGGTCCTGGACACCACCCAGACCGAGGATATTCCTCTCCTTTCCTCCCCTACTTCTCGACCAAATTTCCTTACCCATTTTTTCCTCCCTGCAGCCTGGCCCCTCCACCGGTGCTCTTTCCCATCCCTGCCCCTGTTCCCTTGTTTAAGTGATTGGCAACCCCAGGGCCCTTGAGCAGCCATTTTCTGTCTTCCTTTGTTTTCTTAGCCAATTTTAGTCTCTGCCTGGACAGTGGGGTCCCAATGAATCCTGCCTGTTTCCCCTTTTCCCAGTCCACTCCTGCTCCCATGCAGTGTCATACCACAAACCCAGCCTCCTCCAACTGCCACCAGCATCAGGCAGGTTCCTTCTCCAGTCTGGCTGTGTTTAGCTAGGGAGGACACGGATAGGCGTAGACAATAAAGTAAAACGGACACAAAAGTGAGCAAAGCACACTAAAAAGGATCTCCTTATCTTCGGTAGAGAACTCGCATTACTCATGGGAATTGTAAGGAAAGTAGCACTTAATCACAGGCCGAAGCATAACTAAACAGAGCCAGAGGCGCTGGGAAGCTTAACTGCACAAATACGGGCCAGAAGATAATAGAAATTACTATGGGTCTGCATGTTTAAACTTAGCAAAGCCATATGCAATTGGAAACGAGGACTTGATTTCAATGTGAAATGAGAGGTGATTGTAACAATAACCCCCCCTAAAACCTGTTGCTTTCTATGTCTGCCTGCCTTCTGCTGTATTTATCAGAAGAACAACCTGCTTTTGACATTTTTCTAAGGTGACCTAAAAATAATAATCAAAAGAAAAACACCTTTAATGAGTTTCAAAAGAAGCAGCCTCTTTCCTTCTGGGTTTAAGCAAAATATTTCAAACGGGACTTTCAGAGGTAGTTTTGTTTCTCTTATCTTAAAGACGGACTGAGGTAATCCGCCTGGCAGTTTGCCGCTGCACTTTGTACAAAAAGAGTATTTCAAAGAGTACTTCACCCTCACTGCGCTCTGCCCATCAGTGCAGTCTCAACTGCTTCCTGCTTTAAGTCCCCTCCAGTCCATGCTTAAATACGCATATTAACTTAAATTAGGACAGGCATGTCACCCACCCATTTTAAATTCGGAGCCCAAAATGACTTGTCTTGTATATTTGATACAGACACTCTAGACATTTGAGAGGAAACTGGAATTCGGTTTTCAGAGAATTCACACAAATCTATCCTTTGGAAATTTCTATACTGGAATATCTCCGTTGCTGCTTGTTTCACCTACAGCTGGAACTTCCACCACTGTAGGCTGCCAACCATCCTTCTCTGTCTTCACAAAAATACACTGGACTCAGTGGAAATTGGGGGAAAAAAAAGTTCAGGACAAAGAAAAGGTAAAGAATGGAATTTCTGCAGATCATAAGTTACTTATTATGTACAGAATACAGATCAAAGCAAGCCAATGAAGAAGAAAAATGGTCTCTCACTTATTTAGTCAAGCTTGTTTGCATCTGCATAGCTTATTTTGTATCTGATTCTGTAAAGCACGTGGGACTAGAAAAAACAGAACTAGTTTACATGGACGAGACTGGTTAGCCAAACTGGCTAGCAGGAGTACAAATTAAGAATCACTGCACATTCCTTAGCTTGCATCTATCCTGCCAGAAAATAGGGCTGTCATATATACATACTATTCACCCCTAAAGATAGTGGGTGCCTGCTTCTGTTGCTTTGCACTAGCCTCTTAGGGTTGACCACTGAGGGATTCTGCATGCAGAATCAACCCTTCTTAGTTCATTTAAGAGGTGAGACAAGATGGTGGGCTGAACAGAAAATGAAAAAAAATCAGGAAATTCTGTCCCACAGAACGATGGGAGAAGAGAGAAAGGGTCAAAATAACTACAAGCAGGTCTGAATTTAAGACAAGATGTTGCGAAATGGGTATACTTCACGGTCAATCCAGGACACCTCACGAAGTACAGACAAACTCACTCAACCTCAGTCAGCACAAGCCCTAGGGTGGCTGGCCTCTGAGATGGCTTTAGGGATCCAAAGCTACCAAAACAGCTCTGGGATGAACTTTGTAGACTCTGCTGAGGAATGTGATCTGAATATGAACAATGCTGGGAATTTCACAGAAACGAGGAAGGGAAATGCAAGGAGGAATTAATTCCCACCACACACACTAGATCTGCAGGCATTTTTGATAATTAAAAAGTCATTTTTTGAAGACTGTACATAGCTGTACTCAGTGTGGTATCATCAAAATTTGGCAGCACGGTAAGTGCCCTATTCAGGCATGCTTAAAACAGCGCTGTGGGATATCTGTGCTGCGGAAACAAAAATTCCACTTTGACACTGGAAAGGACCTAAAGGACCTAAAATGGATGAACTGCAGTACTGCAGAGTGTGCACACTGAAATTCATGTACCTACAGAAGCGTGAATATAATTTCAGAGGCAAAATCTAAGCTGAATTGTGGTTGTTCCAAAGTCTAGTGAGACGTTTTCTTTCATCGCTTTATGGTTTCATGATTTGCTCAGCTGATCGTTATCCAGCCAATCTGTTACCCAGAAGAGGTGCAGCTGCTATCTGTGACATCAATTTGAGTTTCTACTGGACTTTTATGTTCTCCATAGTCTTTAAAATCTTGGCAGCGAGGAGATATCATGTGAAGGAGGGCAAGCTTAGCTGGGCAGCTGCAATTCCAGGAGTCTAAAACCCAACTCAGTGTGGAAACAAGTTTAAGAACGTGGGTATGGAGAGACAGCTCAAAGCAATGGACAATAAAAAATTGCAGCAAGATGATAAAAGAATTTCCCAGCATCCCCCATAGTCTTCTTTAGTAACCACAAATGGAGATTTCAGGATTTAAGAATCTTTGAGAAGGGAATGCCTTTTTGGTTCCACGTTGCTGGGGAAGGTGGGGCCTGTCTCTAGCATAGCATGAGCATCATCAGTGATTGCAGATCCTTAGCAACTTCACTGTATGCATCCATAAAAAAAGACTATGTCCAAGTGGCACGCACATATCAAAGCAGGGTTTTTTAATACTGGAAGGATACGATACATGAAGTCCCAAATTATTTCAACAGTTAGGACTCATCCAATTCCAGTTTTGAATCATTAACTTCCCTCCATGCTAAAACTGTACTATTGAAAAATACGTGTTCTCAAGCAACCCAGGAGAAACTTCAGTGTTTATTTCCATTTGGAAGCAATCGCAATCTTCTCCTTCCTCCTAGATGAGGATCTGCCAGTGAAGCAAAGAAAGTTATTTGCAGTTGACCTAGCAAAGTCTTGGCAACTTGCGCAGAAACACTGGCTTGTTTGGTTACGGTTAATTTTAAGTGATTCTGTGTTCTCTCTTGTTCAGCCTCCTTTCTCAGCAGAGTTAAGGAGTGACTAAGAACAGAAATTGAATTTATTGTTGAATTCAAGTCTTTTAACTTTATTTCCCTCCCCCTCTCTAGCTGTCACTCTTTTCCTTCAATGTTAGTGGTGGAGCCAGTAAACGTCCTCATTCACATGTTGGCGGCAAACATTACTGGTGTCTCCTTAGCTTCCGCATGATTTAATATGTTAATTCCTAGACAGTATAAAAGAAAGGAAGAAATACAAAATCAGTGGAAGCCATGGGATAACCTATATCCTGCTGAGTCTGACCTGTGATTTGGCGGGAGAGCAATGAACATTAACTACGTTGTCCCTTCCCCAGTGTGAACAACACTACCCTGCCAACTTTGCACGCTGAGACAGTCTTCCCATCAACTAATCTGCTATTTTTCTTAGATTTTGCGTTGTACCAAGACAGGTAAATAATGTGAAATTTATGACATTTTTACAATATTTACGTATCATGTCAAGGTCGAAATTGGCTTTTACTAGGGACTCGGATGCATTTTCTTTTTAACCATTTCCTGGTAAACAAACTTTCCGCTGTTACAAGTTTTAGCTCATACTTTCTTTTCTTGACATAAGAATCTTTCTGATTATAACTGAGCTATCAAGGCACATAATGCAGGCAGTACTTGGGCTGACCATATTAAAGCTTCTCTTTGGAGGAAAACACTTGTTATTGGTGTTCTAACTCAGCTTAAGGATACACCACGGAAAAAAGACAGCTAACCTTCAGCCCCCTCCTTCTCCTACTAGTTGTGGTAACAGCAGGTTAGAACAACGTGTACTAAATATCTGCTACTTTGTTTTCCATGCTTACAAACCACCTCAAACTTAGTGAAATTACATTTCAAATACACATTTTCAAGTGGCTTGTAAGATCTCAGACTATGATGAGGTAGGGGACTTCCTTCTGAGGACAGCAAGGAATTCTTTAAGCTATTTTCCAAATTGTCAAAATGTAATTTTAAATAGTAATTTTAACAACAGCTTTTAAACTATCAATTTAAACTAATTAAAGCTATTAATTTTATAGCAATTTTATGAAAGTTTTTATATTTTTGTAATATTTTTTAAATGTAATGTACATATATAAAACTTGTGTACATGACGGTTTCACCATAAAGTTCATCCGCAGTGGTTATCTGGAATACATTTCATTAAGATCATTTACCATCAATAAGGGAAAGTGTGTTTCAGCTAAGATTTCCAATCATGACCATGAAGCGCATGGTGCTGGGTTTTGGATGTGTGACTAAACCAGTGTTGATAAGGCGCCAGCGTTTTGGCTATTGCTGAGCAATACTTGCACAGCGTCAAGGCTTTCTCTTTTTTCTCAGGGCGTTACCCAGTGTGCAGCCTGGGGGTGGGCAAGGAGCTGGGAGGGAACACAACCTGGACAGCTGACCCCAAGTGACCAAAGGGATATGCCATGCCACACGACGTCATGCTCAGCAATAAAAGCCGAGGTGGATGGCAGGAGGGTGTTTGGGAGGTAGCCATGGCTTGGAAACTGGCTGGGCATCGCTTGTGGGAGGCGGTGAGTGATTGCCTTTGCATCGCTTGTTTTGTTTTTCTCTCCCTCTTTGCTTCACTCATTAAGCTATCTTTATCTTGACCCATGCATTTTCTCACTTTTGCTCTTCCTATTCTCTCCAGGGATTAGCTGCTGGCCGGGTCAGCCCACCACACCTACATATCCTGTCTTGCCTTCCTTGTTTGAGCTATAGGATTCCTTCAGAGGAAGAAAACACAGCCTTAAACATACAGGCAATTAAGTTATTCACACATAAGTAAACATACATGCATGATTTGATGATTATAACCTTCTCCTCAAAACTAAGTGTGCAAAGAGACTTAGTCACCAAACCTAACTTAAAAGTCTCACCTGATGCCACGCATCCAATTATTTGCTCTGTGAAGCTCTGAAGGAGATGTCATAGAATATATTCAAAGTTTGCCTTAGCAGCTACCGAATCCAATTGCTTTTCCAGAATATTTAAATGAAAATGTAAGTGAAAGCCGGTGCTAAGGATGACAGCAATCTGTTTGGTCTCTTAATAAGACAGCAGTTAAACAGCTTCTGAGCCAAAAGGTACCATACAGCCTGACATATATCATGCACTGCCATAAAGGAATATAATATGCTGAGTCATGTTTGGGTTTCAGAAAAATTCTGGTGCTCTTCAAAAGCAGAGTGATGAATTAGAGGTCAAAATGTCTTTTTTTCCTTTGTTTTGATTCAAAACATTTGGATGTTATTGTTTTGTGCATTTGGAAACAAACTTTAAAAAAAAATAATCTTTCTTTAAAAAAGAAAAGAAAGCCGGATACTTCTTCAGGTAAGAGAATAATTGAAAAATGAGGAAATAAATTTCTCTCTCAAAAGGCAAACAACCGCCAGCAGTTCACTTTAAATATCTGTAAAATCTATACTCTGATCAATGTGCCAATTATAGAACTTAGATGAGAAATTTCTGGTTTTTAACAGAAAGAAACAAAGAAGTGACTGAATTCTAATTTGGTCTCATTGATTATTTTTACAAGTCAGCTGTGTGGAGATTAGATATATATTTTTACCTACCTTTCATACTGAGGTGGGGAAAAAAGGAGTAAAGACTGTCAAAAGTTTAATTACCCACATTAATCTTCCATTACACTCCATGTGCAGCTTACAATCACAAGCCATAATTCAGGTTCCTCATTTAAAATGAAATTTTAAACAACTGATTGACTCACCTTCTGCTGACAGCCCCTGTATGTTAATTCCCTTAGCAGCCAAGAAACTCAGGCATGCATCTATGTTTTCAATCTGTTCAAGAACAAACAAACAAACAAAAAAGAGACACAAAAAGAAAATGCATTGTAATAATCGTTTGCTTTCATCTCCCACCACCCTTTATTGCACTCAGTCTTTGTATCACATAAAAAGTCCCTTTGCTCATTACGTGGAAACCATAATATGAAACCTCCTCGGTTACTAAGGTCCTAAATTGGTTAAGTATTACGTGGGTCAGGACTTTCTGTTATTTGTACTTGCATGAAGCAAGTTATTTAATACTCTAACCACGAAAGAGGATCACTACATATCTTACTAGAGGGTCAAGGATGTTATGCCAGGATTTTTAGCCTACAATAAGTATAACAAACATGAAACCGAAAATAAACATGGAGGCCACATTTGCTTGAGAAGGCAGATTGCCACTTGCTCTTAAGTTGACAGCTGGCAAAAGTTTCCAGCCACAAAAGCAGTCAAATATAAAAACTGTAACTGGAAACCTCAGCTGGAATCCAAAAAATGGTCACTCGCCACATCCCCCGCATGTCAGAAATGACAGGCAACCCTGGCCGCTCACTGGGGGGCAAATCCTGCCCTTCAGAGAGGTGGGACAACGGCATTAAACTGCATGGGATAAAATGAATTTTGACCAGGTAGGGTCTTCTGCCAACAAGTCTGACTGTTAGTGACTACAGCTGCTATATACAGACTGCACTCAAATCCTACCTAACAAAGCGAACTCCAGAAGGGTTGGACGAGTTAGGCATTTTTTCCCCTGCACCTCAACATCACAATAGAGATCTTGCAGTAGCTTCACACCTAGTTTCCCACGAGGCTACCACCAAAGCTCTGCTGCCATATTCAGAAGACGCAGAGAGATGCCAGCCCCCCCTGACCACAGCACTTCCATGCAGAAGCCTACGCTTAGATGCCTTGAGAAGCTGCAAGGAAAAACATTTTAGGAAATATCATGTGTTTCATGTGTGGTTACACAGAAGACTTTCGGATAATACCACTGAGCAATTTTTGCTTTTATCATGGTAATCAGTAAGTCATAAAATAGGGTCTCCATGTTTGAGCATCTTGCAAACGTTAATTTATTAATTCCCAAAACATTGCACCAAACACTGCTTTCACTTTATAGATAAGAAAGTACACAGACACCAAGCCCCACACTTGCTATCACGTAACTACCTTTCTTCTGTGAAGTTTGGAGACACCAAAAGGGAACGTGAAAGATCCAGCTTTCCTTTGCCCTCAAAAAAATATACAAGTGAGGGCTGTGTGGCAATCTGGAGGCTGAGCTCCCAGCACCTGACCAGCTTCCCATCCTTCTCAAAGGAATAAAAAAGTACAAGGGAAGCTGCCAGAAAACCTCCAGCATGGATTGCTCTCAAGGTACTTTCATTTATTGTCTATAACAATAAAAAAATTCTCTTCTATCGGGGGGGGGAGGAGTGGGGAAGTTATTTGCACTACCTAACTGTGATTTCAACAATTATAAACACTGATATACTGTAAACTTTTATCAACCTCATTATACTTTGAGACATACTATATCTAAGTATACTTCCAACCCAGATAGTTACCAAAGAACACATTTCCTGTAATGTTCCGACCTTAAAGCTTGTAGCAGGGTGCAGTTCAAAGGTTCATTTATCCACAGTTCAATATGATACGACAGTCAATCTCTACCCGTTTCCTTCCTCAGTGCTCAACAACCCTTTCAAGTTTTCAACATGGCTCTTTTATTGAGGTGATTTGGCACTTTGCCGGAAAGCCAAAGTTTACCTTTTCAAGAATAAACACCACACAAAATCATCAATCCACTTCTACCACCTGCACTTAACAAGTCTTCATCATTCCAAGAACATTTCCAGTCTTCCACAGCTGTGGATAGATTTCTCCTCTCCTAATAAGGAGGATGACTTAGGTTAGTGAGTAAAGAGAAGCAATATCTCATCTCAACGCCAGATCTGCAGTTGTAGAAACTCAAGTAGCTCTTTCAGTCCTGCTTTGCTTCTCTTCCCAGGTCCCTCATCTTAGCTCAAACTCTCCTTTAGGACAGAGTGACCACAGGATTAACATTTACTTCGGGGTAGCAAGTTCCTCATCCATGCCCTCATTCTTGGTGCTACATAGTAGTCCTGGCTGACTTCCTAATCTCGTGCTTATTGCAGAGCCAATTCAGATTCAAGGAGCCCCCTTTAAAATCCCCACCACCTCTTCCCTGGGACAAAGCCATGTTTTTTACTGAGCGTTTTAGCCACCTAATTACGATATACAGCTCCCATGCCCAGACTGATGGATGACTCCCCAGCAGAGCACTAATGCTTGAGGTGTGTACCTGGAACACAGGTTGAGTGACCTGGACCTCGCTGCCTTGGACAGATGGGCTACCTTGCCACATCAGTTGAAATGCCTGGCTAACGGCTGTAAGAAGCAGGGGCTTTTTGGTGCTATATAGAGATATAGATATAGAAAAAGAATGAGGGGGGGGGGGGAAAATACAGCAATATAAAATGCAGAAAAAGGATTGCAGGAAGTGGACTACCAAAACCCGATGATTTTACATAGACTTACATATGATTACATATGATTATTTTACACTCAAGAACTCTTAAGAAGCAAAACATTATAGAAACAGGAAAATATCCTATTTCAGTACTTAAAACCAGGCATGATGAAATAAAGAGGTAATAACAGAGGACTGCAAAAGCAAACCTCTTACATTGAGAAAATAAAGTACTATGGTAAGATCCTACTGGGATGTACAGCATCACACTTACAAGGAATTCACTAAAAAAAAAAAAACAAATAACTGAAGGACAAAAAAGCATCAATCATTCTGTTAACATTTACGCAGGATCATCTCTGATACTAACAACATTACATGGCAGAATGACAGGAATGTGAGCAATTAATTGATTTTGAAGAAAAAATAGAGCCCAAAAAGGAAAACAGAAAGAAATCTGGGGAAATTCAAGAAGAAAGTGAAATGCAGAATGCAGGTCTATAGCAGAAAGGATTAAAAATTAGCATTGGTAGAAATTTAGGGTGCTTCCCACACAATGACTGGCTGGTGGCCCACACAAAAGTGATTTGTGACTGCTATCCAGCTCCAGTGGAAAAGGGCTGACTCTCGCTTGGCACTTCGGAGTCTCACAGGAGGCAAAAGCCGTGAAGGCTCGACCAGGGAACTGTCTTCTACCCCCTGAGGTGCTGAGAATGGAGAGAGTGATGTTGGGATGTGTGAGGGATGCAATCACTGATTTTTCCTATTGTAAAAACTGAAGATAAGAAAGCTACTGAAATCTTCATCTCTCAAATAGCTTAAGGTGTGAATACTATTTTGCGGCCACTGGCCCGAGTGAAGAATCCTAAGCTTGGCTGAATTAGTCTAATGCATCAGAAATCATGTGGCTTGTTTAAAGAAAAGAGTTTCCAACAGCATAACATTTAATGAATTTCACCTGTAAAAGCTCCAAGGAAGGATTCTGTCTCTAGGCCCTGCTGTATTAACATAAGAACTAACTATTTATAATCTGCAAATACTGTTTTATGCAGAAAGATTCCCCCAGTGCATACAGGGTTGGAGATAGCAAGCTATTCTGAAGTAGAAGCATGGTAGTTAGACCATTTAGATGTGTGTACCTAGGGTAGAAGTGAAGTTCCTGGATAGATCTCAGCTAAGGAAAGACCTAACGACCCTGCGTCGTGGTGACTTCCAACACAAAGTACAGCTGCCTCCTTCAAATTACAGTATTCAGCAGCAAATCATCACTGAGACTCTACAGGCCCTTTTTTGGCCAAGTCCGCGTATTGCTTAAACCCTTTAAGCAGATGTGAAAAGACTGGATTTGCCGAAGGGGAGGGTATATGTTCTTTCTCACTGTGAGCTACAATTGGTTTTTGGCTGACAATTCTGATTTCTCATTTGCTTTGCCAGCAACATTTAACACAGCAGAAGCAAAGCAGGCAAGATGGCAGCTGGATGCTCTCATTTCCCGCCTACGCAAAATAACAGAAAGCTGTGCAAAAGGAGAAGGAAAACCAAGGACAGACATCCACAGTAATTATCTCACTCGGACACGTTACTGGCTATGTCCAAAACCGAGCCTTGCCTTGTTACACTTCCTGACCAAAAGCATCAAATGAATCTGCAATTTTGAACCGCCACATATAGACTTCAGGTATAGTCAACTACGAAAGTGCATTATCAGTCCCTGTTTGACAGGTATTTATTCTGAAATGTCCCTAAACGCCAGCCAAGGACAGCTGAGCTCGCACCCGAGGGGCTGCCAGCCTCCAGGGGCTCCTCCTCCTTTCTCCTAACTAGGAGATGATATGAAAAAATAAAAACCCATAGAATTAAACTTTTGTTCAGACATAACATATCAAGTGTCACAGCTCCCATTCTCATATTCACAGAAGCAAAACACATGTTTCAGTCACCTGAAAACTTCCTCTTAACGTGAGTCTCTGGATGGCATTTGCTACCTGCCAAGACGGGAGCAGAAGGCATCGTGGCTAAGGAGTATTGCACGTGCCTAACTTTCAAATTCCAGACCAGCCTGCGGAAGCAGCAGCTGCTTTGTTACACCAGTAAGGCCATCAGCCTCTTGCTGGAAAAGTAGGACTACAAGCTAGTGGTCACACATATGTACTGATTTCTAAGGACGTTTGTAAAGGACATTATCCCACACCATCGTTTACATTCCTACCACACCTGCACGCTCCTCGGTCCTTCCTAGCTTCTACACATATGAAACTCAAGTACACACAAATTTAATAGCTTCATTGAATTCCTACAAGTTGATCAGAATACATTTATTTAATTCTCATTCCACTATTACTTTCCCAGGTATATTACTCAGATTTCCCTCTATTCTCAAATGTACCTTACAGTAATTATGCATTTCCAACAACACTGGCCACCACACCCACACAAGTTTTTGCACTTGTCATATAACAGCAAGTTTCTATTCTTGTCAATGCTAGAAAGAAAAGGAGCTAGGAAACATGTCCTGGCC